AAAAGCATTGGGTTTTTGATGTTTTATGTTGAAATGCTTGCAAACACACGGTGTTCGGTAGGATTCTGACATGAACGCGCGAGTGTGCTCTTTGTGGTATTTTTTTGCACAGGATTCGCGGCCTGGGTGCATGACAGAGCATCGCGAGTGCACCGCGCGTTGACGCGAAATCGCTGGATTTGACAGAATTCTTAAGATTCCTATGGTTTTCCTATGATTTCAGCAAGAGAGCCCGGGCGGGAAATTTGTACAATTTTTGTGAAAAAGCATTGGGTTTTGATGTTTTTATGTTGAAATGCTTGCAAACACACGGTGTTCGGTAGGATTCTGACATGAACGCGCGCGTGTGCTCTTTGTGGTATTTTTTGCAATGGATTATCGCCGTGGACGACAGGACGTCCATGTCGAGAGGAAAAAAATATGAAACATGTTGATTTTGTATTGTTTTTTACAGGTTAGGATGGGACCACCCGGATGCGGCCCCTAATGGCCGGCCTGAGGGGGGAGTAGGAGTATATTCTAATAAGGAATAAGGATAGGAGTCAAGCTAGCCAGCTCGAGCGAGTCAAGCATGGCATGCCCAGTCCCACCCGCCTCCCACAACATAAGAAGCAAAGCTGGCACAACTGGGGGCCGAAGTCACACCGGCCAGCCGGTTTGGTACAGCTGATGCGGCCGCGATGGCGGTTGCCGACGGGAACTGGCGAGCGCGTGTTGAATGTCGCGCACGCATTGCCAGACGAGTCGAGAATGGCCTGGTACACCGCAGGAAGCCAGAGGTGGCCGGAGGAAGCCCGACGGTCTGACAGGACACCCCAAAGCATTTTTGTGAAAAAGCATTGGGTTTTGGATGTTTTTATGTTGAAATGCTTGCAAACACACAGTGTTCGGTAGGATTCTGACATGAACGCGCGAGTGTGCTCTTTGTGGTATTTTTTGCACAGGATTCGCGGCCTGGGTGCATGACAGAGCATCGCGAGTGCACCGCGCGATGATGTGAAATCGCTGGATTTGACAGAATTCTTAAGATTCCTATGGTTTTCCTATGATTTCAGCAAGAGAGCCCGGGCGGGAAATTTGTACAATTTTTTGTGAAAAAAACATTTGGTTTTTGATGTTTTTATGTTGAAATGCTTGCAAACACACGGTGTTCGGTAGGATTCTGACATGAACGCGCGCGTGTGCTCTTTGTGGTATTGTTTGCAATGGATTATCGCCGTGGACGACAGGACGTCCATGTCGAGAGGAAAAAAATAAGAAAAATGTTGATTTTGTATTGTTTTTTACAGGTTAGGATGGGACCCCCCGGATGCGGCCCTCATGGCCGGCCTGAGGGGGGGAGTAGGAGTATATTCTAATAAGGAATAAGGATCGGAAGGTGGTAGTAGTAGGTGATGATGTGATTAGGAGGAGAGGAGGAGGTGGAGGAGGAGGAGGAGGGGAGGAGGAGGTGGAGGAGGAGGAGGAGGAGGAGGAGGTGGGAGGAGAGGTATGGAGGTGGAGGAGGAGGAGGAGGTAGCAGGAGGAGGAAGAGGAGGTGGAGGAGGTAGGGAGGAGGAGGTAGGAGGAGGGGGGGAGGAGGAGGAGGAGGAGGAGGGGGAGGAGGAGGAGGAGGAGGAGAGGGGGGTGGAGGAGGAGGAGGAGGAGGAGGAGGTGGGAGGAGGAGGAGGAGGAGGAGGTGGAGGAGGAGGTGGAGGAACTGGGGAGTCAGGGGGGGAGGGGAGGAGGAGGAGGAGGAGGAGGGGAGGAGGAGGAGGCGGAATAACAGAGGGAGGAGGTGGAGGAGGTGGAGGAGGTTGAGGAGAAGGAGAGATTAGAAGGAGGACGCAGACGACGAATGGGAGGAGAGGAGGAGAGGGAGGAGGAGGAGGAGGAGGAGGAGGACGAGGAGGGGAAGGAGGTGGAAGAGCAGAAGGAGGAGGCGGAGGAGGTGCAGAAGGGAGGGGAGGACGACGCCGACGAAGGACTTGAGGAAGTGTAGGTGGAGGAGTGGAGGAGGAGGAGGAGGAGGAGGAGGAGGAGGAGGAGGAGGAGGAGGAGGAGGAGGAGGAGGAGGAGGTGCGCCATTCTCTTGGGCGCCAGTGCGACTGCACGCTGGCTGCCCCAAAGGAGCCCCTAGACCGCGACGAGGCGCACTACGCGGCCCGCATGCACGCGGCCTTCCGCGTCGTGCCCAGCGCGAGCAACGGCTCCGCCGTGCGAGCGGCGCCCAGCCGCCCCTGCCTCACGGGGGGGGGAGGAGATCGGCAGCTGCACTGTCCGGCTGCACGCAAGTCGCCGTGGCAGACAGGGGCCCTGCGGGAAACGGGTCTCGCCGTCTTTGGCTTCCCGGGGCCCTCCATGGGCCCTGGGACCGTCCAGAAACGATTCAGGATGAAGGGCTGGTCCTGGAGGAAGGCCCCAGTGTCCAGGACCCGTTTTTCTCGGGACCCGTATCTCTCATGCCAGGAAAGAGTGGCCCTTCGCCGGAGTGACCTTTGGTGCGGGCCCACCGCGCACTTCAACTGTACGTATTGAAGGGCTTCGATGGACAAGCATGCCTTGGCGCTTCCTTCGGCTACGAGAAACTCGTGTCGCTCTCGAAAACGAAGAAAAGGCATAGACCTAAACTTTTGGAGCTCCGCGCGGATTTCTTGGATCGGCGCTGGAGTCCCCTGGCGGCGCCTCCAGCGCAGCCCCTGGCGTGCTCCGCGCGCCAGGGACGGGGTTTCATCACAGATCCGGGCAATCCGCGCGGACCGTTGAAAGTCTATGTTTATGCAGTTGTTTATTATTCTACACTTCGAGCGCGCGTGAGAGTGACCCTTCGCTGGAGTGACCTTTGGTGTGGGCCCTCGGGGACGACCCGATCGTGGAACCCGACGCGATAGCACCGGCCTGCGCGCTTCACTTTGGCCCCCTGGCGCCCCCCCGGAAGCCCCGCACCGAAGGCCACTCTTGTTAAGTCGGGCGTGTCCTACAGGGGGATTTCGGGCGAAAAATGAAAATATTCAAAACATACCCTAAAATGGTAAACAAAAAAAAAAAAAAAAATCAAAACATAGTCCCCAGGCTATTTCTGGATTATTGTTTGACCATTTCTGGGGTATTTTTGTTCGTCGAAAATCCCCCTGGTAGGGGGACACGCCCGACTTAACACTCTTGCCTGCACTCTCCCTTGCAGCTGAACGCTATCATCTGGCAGGGCACGGGGTTCAGCGCAAGTGTGGCTCAGCCAGAGCGCCGGATCCTCCAGGCTGCTGCAGGGCCGGAGGTTGGCCGACTCGGCGGGCTTTGGGGCCGCTCGCGGCCATTGGCCCTTGGGGTGGCCGTACATGCTGGTTGAGCTGGACGTCGTAAGCCCCCCAACCAAAATTGCAGCGCAGTTTTTTATCACATGGTTGAGCCAGGTTTGCGCGGAGCCGGTTAAGTCCACGCCGCCCCAGAGGCCAGGATTGTCCCCGACCAGGGATCACGGTAGCTCCGCCGCCTTCGGGCCAGCGCCATCTTGGGCCTTCGGGCGGCGTGCACAGATAGAAGAAGCGAAAACGACATAGACGTAAGCTTCCGAGTGTCCGCACGGATTTCTCGCCCTCTTGCCGCGCCCAGCTCGCCAGAGCACAGATCCCAGAAATCCACGCGGGCAGTCGAAAGTTGATGCCTGTGCCCTTCTCTGCTCCGAACACTACTTGGCATCGCGCGGACGTGTGCGATTTTGCTCGGAGAGGGTAGCGCCAGAAACTCAGGGCCTTCTAGGCGCATCTTGGTCCATCTTGCGAAAAAGTCAAACGTCGCAGGCCTAGAGGTTGACACCAACACCAATATCGGCGGTGTTCCTCCATCGTGGGAAGAGGATCCCGATCTCGGTGATGGTGGTATTATTCTGGCTTCCAAGGTGACCGAAATATTACCACCAACACGGAAATCTAGGATCATCTTCTCCCTGTGGAGGCAACCCCTTGCGTTGGTGTTGGTGTCCATTTCCAGGCCTCCAAAAACGCGCACGAAACCGAACCGTTCACGGGGAATGGACGTCCGAGCGCGGGCAAAACCATTGCCATCCTTGGACTGGGGCCATCTTGGGCCCCGGGGTGGCGTGCAGGCCCTCCTGGCTTGAGAGGCCCTGTGGCTGCACGCGCCGTACCATCGGCCCAAGGTGGCCCCAGCCGGGTCGGAGGAGGAGGAGGAGGAGGAGGAGGAGGGGGAGGAGAAGGAGGAGGAGGAGGAGGAGGAGGAGGAGGAGGAGGGGAAGGAGGGGGAGGAGAAGGAGGAGGAGGAGGAAGAGGAGGAGGAGGAAAGAGGAGGAGGAGGAGGAGGATGAGGGAAGGGACGGGTGCAGTCGGCGTTCCTCGCGCGAGGAGGAGCCTTTGGCCTTCGGGGCGCAGCGTGCCGCGGCCGAGCTTCCCGCCTGCGCGCCTGCCGGTGCCGTGTCCCGCGCCCGCGGAGCGTCCGCGGAGCGTCGGCGGCGCCGCGTTGTCGCCGGGTGTGGGCTCCGAGGGGTCGGCGGAGGCCCGTGGGCACAGGAGCACGCTTGGCGTTTGCAGGTGCCCACGCCTGTGGGACCCCTAGATGGGACCCCTAGATCTACGAATGGTTGACGTATTTGTTTCGAAACGTCGACGTGAAAATCAATTTTGGGGTAAATCATTTCTGTAGGCGATCCCCCAGACGAAGTCTCGGGAGGGGGGGGACTGTTTGTGTGTGTATGTGTTTTCAGATCGGGGGGTCCCCGCTCGAACGGGAGCTCACCTCGGGGTCCAACAACGCGCACCCGTGCCTACAGCGGCTTCATCGCCGTACCCCGCTACAGATTTGAGCGTGTGTCGCTCTTTCATCAAGACAGAAGGATCCCTGGTTGCATGTACATCTCTTGAGGCCCCTCGTCCTGAAGGCCCAATCCTTCGGGGCCCCATGTTTGAGCTGCCGACTGGGGTCCTGGCGCCACAACAGCGCAGGCCGCCGCGGATCCCTGAGCACATGTCTAGCAGTGCTCCAGAGAGCGCGCCAGACCCGCTGCAGGGCAAAGATGTAGGCTCAGTGCGTCTGCATGCCGAGCGTCCCTTGCAATATCAAGGTCACAGCGGATCCTCAAACGTCGAGTGGCTTGGTTGTTCATTCAAGTGTTTCTGATGTTCAAAGGGTCTCTTGCATGATGCTTCCTTTCGCTAGCGGCTCAACCCCTCCCCCCACGGCTACAGATCTCTTGAATGGCACCAGGCGCTGCTCGTCTCTTTAGGTTGCGCTCTCCGGATCCAATGCTTTTCGTACGTTATTATACATGCATCCATCCTTCATCTACACTTGTGAACCCTACATGTTCGCCACACAGTGCTTGTGTTTAGGTGTTCTTACTTCCTTCTCTGAGGGAATTGAACCAGCGTGGCGGTCTGGCGGCTCCGTGGTCGCCGTCACCGTCCAGTCGCCGCCTCGTCGCAGCCTGTCGTCTGGGTCTGGGCGGCGGTCTGGCGTCTCCGTGGTCGCCGTCGCCGACTCGTCATTGTCTAATGGCCTCCCGTCGTCTGGGCCTTGGGGGCGGCGGTCTGGCGGCTCCGTCGTCCCCGTCGCCGCCTCGTCGCTTCCCCGTCGCCGCCCCGTTGCCGCCTAGATTGCGCCAAGTAGATTTCCCTTTCTCAGAAGAAGTTAGGATCTACCACCCCCCCGAGCCTGGGATTATCGATCCCCCGTGGGGATGTGCAATTTGCATGTGATTATGCCTCGTCGTGTACTCTAAATATGAACTCGTACTATCCCAGCCAAACCAGGTTCGATCCCCTCACCGAGCATCCTCTGGAGCAAACAGTATGCGAGCACACCAGTTTATCACACATCGACCGTTTTCAGAAATCCTTCGAACAAGTGGCACGAAGTGTACCCGCGCGCGTCGTCGCGCGCGCATGCCGGAATTGTTCAGCATTTCAGGTCTCGCAAGGATTTAAGAATCGAGTGTCCCAGACATCTATAAGACATTTGGTTGTGTAACCGGACTTTTAAATAAAAGGTGAACGTCAGCGCGCTATTGCTAATTCTCAAGGAGAAAATATGTTTCAACATGTCCATCGCCGGCGCACGAGCGGGCATCTCGCGCGCATGGAAAAAACATTCGAAAGCCCTTGAGGGCGTGCCTGGGGGGCACGATCCTTGTCAAACTGTCAAATAATACCATGCGGGTCACTCGCTTCCGTCGGCCGCACGCGCATATCGAAATCTTGCCGAAACCGTTTTTATCACCGACGTGATGGCGCCTTCATCGTCATCGGCGTGATCTGCATCGGTGCTGTCATCGGCCTTGCCGTCGTCACCAACATTGCCACCATCATCATCGTTTCTGTCGTTGCCGACGTCGCCACGATACCGTGCCCGCCCGAATCACCGCTTCGCACTGAAGTGCCCGCGCGTCAGCGCGGCTTGCAAGCGGCTTGCGAGACGCGCGGTGAAGTCCCCAGCAGTCAGCGCTACCGCGGCCGCGTCGGTCGCGCCAGACTAGCTGGCCGCTCTGCGTGCGAGCTTGCCCGCGCTAGCGCTGCCGCAGCAAAGCGCCAGCCAGCGCCAAGCAGCCATCGCGTTCGCCACTGCATGGGTTTTGCAATCCAAGTTGCGGGCTTGTGGGTGGGGGCGATTGCGCGGGCAATAGGGTTGACAATTTCAAATCTGGCAGGGTAACGTTCTGTTCTAAGGAAATATAAGGATATACCCCCTTCGGATGTAGCCGCCCCCTATACGTATTGGAAGTTGCGTGCGATTCTGCCTCATCGTATCGTCCATCTGAAAAATACACCTATAGCATCCCAGCTAGGCCGGTAACGCCCCCCCCCTCAACCTCCTTGAAGAACATAGCGTTCGCCCGCATTCGTTTATTGAATATCATCCGTTTCTAAGAATCTCTTACAACGAATGAGACGAAGTGTACGCGCGCGCGTAGTCGCGTGCAGTTCGTCCCGTTTCTCAACATGTGCATGACATTCGGCCAAACGGACCCGTCGCGCCGCACGTCGGAATCATTCGAGCGCCCTTGCGCGCGTGCTGGGGGGCTTGCACGGCGATCGGTGTCAAATAATACCGTGCGGGCCACTCGCGCGTCGGCCGCGCGCGCATGTCGGACTCCCTCCGAAACCTTCGTCGCCGACGCGAGGACGCCGTCGTTGTCCTCGGCGTGATCAGCATCGGCGCCGTCGCTGGCCTTGCCGTCGTCGTTGTCATCATCGTCACCAGCACCGCTACCTCCATCA